TGGGCCTTGTTGGAAGTTGTGGAGACTTTCTGGGGACCCCCGAGGAACTAGACGGTGCTTGCTGCTAGCAGGAAGGGAGAGCTGGGCAAGGACTCCTGCAGGGGACCTTGACTTCACTTCTCCTGGGAAGTTCTAGCTAGGTGGGGCTGCTGCTAACGAGCTCTCTGGGCTGCCCTGGTCAGAGGGAGTTGGGGCTTTTGTTTCAGGTGGCTCCTGATTGGGTGGGTCAAGCACCCTTGTGAGTCACTGCTAGGCAGAGGCCTATATAAGAGCCAGGCCTAGAGCGCAGCTCCCAGAGCGCAGCCAACAGAGGCAGCGAACAGACGCAGCAGTTTGCGCAGCAGTGTCTGGGCTCTGCCTGGGCCTTTTGTGGGCCTTGTTGGAAGTTGTGGAGACTTTCTGGGGACCCCCGAGGAACTAGACGGTGCTTGCTGCTAGCAGGAAGGGAGAGCTGGGCAAGGACTCCTGCAGGGGACCTTGACTTAACTTCTCCTGGGAAGTTCTAGCTAGGTGGGGCTGCTACTAACCAGCTCTCTGGGCTGCCCTGGTCAGAGGGAGCTGGGGCTTTTGTTTCAGGTGGCTCCTGATTGGGTGGGTCAAGCACCCTTGTGAGTCACTGCTAGGCAGAGGCCTGTATAAGAGCCAGGCCTAGAGCGCAGCCAACAGAGGCAGTGAACAGACACAGCAGTTTGCGCAGCAGTGTCTGGGTTTTGCCTGGGCCTTTTGTGGGCCTTGCTTTTCGAATTCTGTGTAAAACTCGTGTACCCTTAGTTGCCATCTGAAGAGGCACATGCTTTTAAAAGCTGTTATTTAGTATTTTTTAAATCAACGCTTTGTATAGGTGTCACAGGTTTTGTGTGTGTGTGAGCAGCATTTTTAGCAGCAGACAAAAAATTCTGGCAAAAGTCAAGCAAATAATCAGATGCAGTACTCACGTCATTCACCTACAGATGCAGCATGTTTCAGTGATCCCACATACCCAGTGCTTTCTATTGTATAAATTGAAGTCTCCTGGAAGCCTTTATTTCTTTCTCTCTCTGAGGGGTATGTGTGGTACGAAGTGATAGACTCTGTGCTGTCCATCAACCAGATGGGATTCCTTGGTACGGCTCTTTATACTGCTGCATTTTCACAATTGTCACATCTCGTCAGGCCCCTAGTTGATTCTCTTCAGTTGATCCCACATAAAATGTAGCCTATCGTGCTGTCATATAACTCAGTGTTCCCCTTTGGGATCCTCTCTCATTCGCTGACAGCAGCCTACCGTAGTCCGTGGAGCATCTGCATTAGCCACCACTTCCCTTTCAGACTCAGACTGTGGAAGGATTTGAACGGTATCAGTCTTGCATTCCTAGAGACAGCTTTCTTCAAGGAAACAGGGTGGAAACTTGGGCATGCTTTGGTCAGTCTCTTCAGATGTAGGTGCTTCCTAAACGTAACGCACTTTTACAACCTGCTGAGACATTTGGAGGCGCAAATACCGCTTCCCAGTCGAAGATGTGAAGTACTTGCACAGCTGTAATTCCGCCATGGAAAAACCCCCCAAAGTACCAGAAGCCTATAGCCAACCGTAGCAGCCTGGTGGTGGTATTCCAAGGGAAGTATAGGCGATAGTGGAAAAGCATGAGCACGCGTACACTGCCTTACCGTTCATTTTTGGATCAGCTACACAGATAGTCTTGTAGGATTCTCAAAAATGGCGTGCCACTCACCTCCTCAGATTTACTCCAGCTTTCTGGCTTGTTTCACCATCTGTGCACATTGCCTCTTTCAGGTATTGTAAGTATTGAGGATGGTGATAAAGGGTGCATGCATTTAGCTAGCATTCATTTAGGTTATTCACTATAGTTTCAAATTTTGTTTGATTCTACTTGATAATTGATGCTCCTCATTTGCTGTCAGTGTAACTAATACCCATGTGGCACAATATCAGATGCTTCACAGAATTGGAGGTAGATGCAGTTGTCACTGTCCTTTTCCCTTCCTTTAATCTGAACCTAAAGTTCATCACATGCTGACCTTACTATTATTTTCCTTTGGAGACAGTAAAAGATATTTTGCTATTTAATTTTAATTTCCTTTCCAGGATCTAACCCAGCTCTTTTCATGATGTTTTCTAATTCTCATCCCATTCTAAGTCTTTTGACTTCTGCTATCTACGTTCCTTTCCTTATCAGTCTTTTTTTGTTTTTTCTTCCCTTCTATTTGGCTCTCTATTTCAACATTTTTTTTTGTCAGATAGGTAGGCCTGAAGCCATGGCCTGAAAATTTTCCCTCTTTGATGCAAAACGTTCCAGGCAGTTTTGTACCTTTGTCTTAGAAGTTCCAGTGCTCCTTCCTGCTCAAGACCTTAAGCTCTTCAGTCCGTTTGGCTTCATTTAGTAGTCCTCCTAACTTTTTAAAATTAAGCCAAATTTTAAAATAACATCAGTATTTTAATTTTTGAAGTAAACTTTGTTAATAGAGCTGGAAGCTCTTCTAAAAAATTTTGTTTTCTCTTTCTGTAGCTCATCTGTTCTTTTCCCTGAAAGAGATTTTTTAAAACAGATTTTTTTGAAAATGCAGACTCCTGGAAGCTAGTCCTCTTTGCCCTGAAGGCTGCTAAAATTACCACAATTATTCAAGCAGCCTTAACTGTTGACAGAAGTTTTTGTTTGTTTTATATAGCTACCGTATATCATTTAGAAACTACTAAAATTATAACCATTTTAGAGAGCATCTGCTTTACATGGCAGTGCAGACTGGGGCTAAATATTTTAACTTCTTCTGTGCTTTGTTCCTTATCTTTCTCAAAACTGATTGCATGACAAACGCAGTATTCTAGGTTAAAAGCTTATTCTTCTGGAATGCTTTTCCGATTATGTCCAACCCGTACACACACGGTCATTTCCAACAAGTGTTAATTCATCCCTTACTTGTTAGCCTTTCTCTTTGGAGAGCAGAGGGGGAAAGTAGGCACAGCATTGGTTTCACGTGTAAGTACCATGTGAAGGCTGCAGGTGCATTGCAACAAACATCTGGGCCTTTGATTAAGGGGCCTGAAGCTAGTGGACGTAACTCTAACTTTGAACACTTCCTCGGGATAATTGATGCATGTTTTGCATGTGGAAGAACCCCATCTTTATATTCATCTTTATTTTCAGTAGACATCCTTCTGCGTCATTTCTGTGAACTGTTTACATCCTGGACATGTAATCAACAGCTGTATTGTCCTCACATGCAATTATCCTATACATGCAACTGCTTCCAACATTTTGTTAGCTGCCTGGCGACCCAGTTTGCCCCTGAGGGCTTGTCAAAGCTCCTAGCCTTCCCTGACACTTTTACAACGTTGTTCTGGATTTGCAAAATGTATATTTAATATCAGGAACTTTCTGAAGCTATGTGAAAGATCTCTATTAGGAGCTTGTCAGCAGGCTACGTTGTCTGGAATACAGCCAGTGGGAAAGCCAATCTCTGATTTGTTATCACATCTTTATGTTTACTTTGTAATAGACACTTAATGTGAAATTTAATATTCATGAGTTAACATCTGTTTTGTCAGAAGAACAGAAATAGCAGATGAAACTCTGAGTGTGTTTTTTTTACATTCCGTGTTCTGGATCTTTATAAAGATACAACCAGAACGATAACTCTCACCCTGACAAATATCCTGTATGAGAAAAGAAAAGACAATAGCCTTGTTTCGTAATAATTCATTATTCATGTAAAACAAGGCTTATTTCAATGAAGTGGCTTGGGGAAGTGTTACAGTAAATGTGTGAAATGCTTGATTTTACTTGAGAAAGACTGCAGAGCTGCTGTAAGCTTTATCCAAACTCAGATTAATTCATCCAGTGATGTACACTTAGTCTCCATGCAGCAGAATCCCTATAACTCAGGAAGGGAACTAATAATGATTAGGAATATTTTTCAGATACTAGAGCTAGACTCTGCAACAGCTCATATTTTTTTTTCTTTTTTTTTTCTTTTTTTGCAAGCAACCCCCTGGTGACCCTAGTAATGGCAACAAAGAACCTGCAACCTTTTTCACAGCTTTTGGGGACTCCCCCTCTTCCCCCACCCCCCCAAAAAAAAAATTACAAAAAATTAGCTCTCCCGTGCAAAAAAGGCATGGGAGAATTGAAGGATCTCATGCAGAGTAACTCCTGAGACACAAAATCCAACGCCATTTTCATGAACACTTTTACCCTTACACACAGAGGGGGAAAAAAAATTACCTGAAGTGACCAATTAATTTAAAGTACAATTCTGGTAGTTGCAGAATACCTCCTGAGTCTTGCTCAACACTTTTGGATTCAGTTTTCATATAACACCAATGGTGTGTCATGCATTGTAGGATTAAATGAAAGTCCGAACACTGAGTCTTTGTATTTGTCTAGCTGCTTTAAATTGAGCGGTATTAATGATGATTTAAAAGTTATCATCAGGTGTATAATTACATAGTGTACAATTGTAATAATTATATAATTGTAAAGTTATATAACTAGTTTACATGCATAGCATGCACCGTATGTGGAAACAATAAACCAAAAGACAAAATAAATAATCATTTTCTCTATAAGATAGCAGTTTTTATAAAATAAAGATTGCAGTAATTAAAAAGGGCTTTTCTACAACCTGTAGCATTTCGTAGCAAAAAATTTTGGCATTTTGATCCTAGCACTCCAAATTTTAATTTTTGTAGAGAAAGTCTAATGGTATCAGCATATTTCTTCTCTCTTTCCTTTTATTAGTGTTTCATATAGCCTTTTTTATCTAGAGGACTTTAAAAGACTTAAAGACTTGATTCCATAATTTTATTCTCTCCAAATATACTTTCTATAGCATTCTCTCAGAGAAAAATTAGCTGAGTAATTGATCGAATGTTGACTTTGAAAGTAAAAGAAAAAAATTTTAGTACTTAGACAATTCTTTCTTTTTTGTTGGCCAAACTGTTGCCACATTTATCCACTAACAGCAGAACTTTTGCTGAATCTTTCTCGTTTGTTTTTGCGCAGAGAGTTTGGATGGCGAGATCCAGAGCTTCCTGAAGTTATACAGATGTTACAGCATCAATTCCCCTCAGTACAGTCCAATGCCGCAGCTTACTTGCAACACCTCTGTTTTGGAGACAATAAAATAAAAGCAGAGGTAAGATTTGTAAACACTGTGCTTTCAACTGTGATGTTGTATGCGAATTTTCATCACTTTTTATTTATACGTACTTGAAAAAGAGTTACAAGAGGCTGGACCAAGTTTACTCAAGCTTTCAGTTAAGTCATTCATTGCCATCAGAGAGGGTACAAACTGCATAAAATATTAATGCTGCTTATTTGAATGATTTATTTGTTTGGATCGAATGTTTCTGTGTGACTGCATACCACTGTGTCAGTAGTTGTGCAGAGTAACTAGCAAGATAGTCTTGTTCTCGCTGAAGCACATGACCATTTCCATGGGAACTTCGGAAAAAAAAATTGGAAACTAAATACAAACGTAGGAGAAGGAAATTAAACAAAACGACTCTGAATTAAAGCCTGCTTTCATGTATAATTGCATGAATAAAGATTAATTTCATTGGGCTTGCAGCCTGAGCTGTGATCTGTGATCTTGAAAATCTGTGCAGATTGTATCTAAAATGTAACTCAAAGAAGCAATTCAGACTTTGTTCTCTACTTGTAGTTGATCTGTACTTCATGCTTGCTTGTTCCCTGTGGTTCATGGGAGCAGTTCAGCTTTTGGCACAAGTTAAAACAGGAAGAAGGGCACTCTGAGGGATCGGACAAACATACAGGAGTCAATTGAAATTGGATGAATGAAGCTATTACCATCCCCAGCTGCATCCCCTGCCCTTCTCATGGATATTGCTAATCAGAGACATGTGGTGTGCACATAAATCTGTGCCTGGACTGGCATCTTTTGACCTGGCCTAAAAAGGTAAACTAAGTTCAGGATCTGCCACTGCGTATGTGTCAGGACTGCGAACTGATGCTGGCTTGCTGCTGCTTCATGATTTCTCACAGTCAGCGTGTTCCAAACCAGGGAACCATCCAGCTAGGGTTTTCTCATACTGAAGAAATTCACAAGTGAGTAAATATTTGACCAGTTGGCACTGGCAGGACTGCTCTGAAGAACTGCACTTGGTGCAAATGTCTGCCCCAAACATCTTGGAGATAAATGTGTTTATATGAATGTTAGAATGAAGAATTTTTCTGTTCCAGAAAAGATCTCCCCTACCCGTGTTGCTGAAAATTTTGACTACATGCTATCCCCATACTCTTTTCTCTCATCCTTTCTCCACAAAGTAATCTTCCAGTAAAAACAATTGACTAATCTCTGAGAAAGGCAGTTAAATGATTAGAGCAATTATTCATTGTATAATCTGTGCCTCCTCCGGTTAGCCATAGCTGGAGAACCCTCAGGTCGCTATCACATTTCAGAGAGAAGGTTGTTTGATATTTTGTAGCCAGCCATGTAGGGAGAAATCCCTTAGAAGCCTTGTTGTCGATCTGATCCATCCCATTAGGGCGTCAGCCTTTGTAAGCGTCAGGATCTGCCATCTAAACTTGATCACTCTTTTCTTCCAGTTTTATCTTTGGAATAACTATAAAGTTGCCTTACTCTTATGAGACTTCCGTGAGATCTGTATAAAATTTCTCCCCGTGTACTTGACAGGATTGAGACCTTTATATTCCTTTTCAGTAGAGTACAGTTAACTAAAATAAAAATAGAAAATAACAGCTTAGACTATATGCATTTGTAAGATCCCTGACACCTTTTATGATTTTACTCTTAGGTTTTATTCTTTTAAAACATGTTAATGTCGGTGGCTGAAGTGTGAAAAACTGCCCCTTGCTTCCTGTCTTTCCCCGTCGTGAGCAAGAAGTGGAAATATTAACTCTATAGAAGACAACAGTGAGAAAGGAATTCTGTCAAACACGCGTTAGGCTAGGGAGAAGAGAGAATTTTTTTCCCCTAATCTTGATTATTTTTGTTATGTTAGGTGTTATTTCTAAAACACTTCTTGATTTGAGATTTACTTCTGAATTTGATGATGGCACTCTAAATGTCTCTTTATTGCTTCATAAATGTAAAGGCCCTCATCGTTCATTTATGGGGGAATTCTCTCAGTTCCATGAGTTCTGCAGATGCCCTTCTCTAACTTAAAGGACTTTCAGACAAGCAGGATAGCAGTTTATGTGAAGATGCCCCAGGCTGGCTACAAAGGTGTCAGAAGCCATTTACTTTTTCACGAAAAACCTCTGGAGTGAATTAAGCGTCGCGTTTTCATTTTTCCCTCCCAGCTGTGAGTGTATTAATACTGCGATATGTAAGCGTGATAAGCTGTGGCAGGTGATAAAGATGGTGTTGTTCTTGAAGACGCTGCTGCTTCTCTCCTGCTCAGAACAGTACACTGCTAGTCTCATTTTATTTAAAAGTATGATTGTAATTGCTGTTTTCACCTAAAAGTTTTCCTCAAATGCCACTTCTGAGTCTCCTTAAGTAGTGCTGACTGCAAAACAATGGCCGCTACATCTTTTGTCAGTGGCACTTCTAATTCTCTATTTTTATCCCTTGCGTTCGGTGCTTAGGTGGTACAACAGACATTAGGATGGAGTTGAGAAGTTTGTGCTACGGTCTGACAAGTCAGTTTTTCTTCTTCTGTTGAGCGGTGGCCAATCCTTAGTGAGACCTGACATGCATGGAAGGTGGTACAGGGAGGCAGAAGGTCACAAATTTCAGCTCTGTATAATAATTCTGAAATTCTGAATCTCAAAATATTTCAGAGATTAATAGTGTAATTATTGAGTTCATTGATAACAGTGAAGAATGCAATTAAAGGCAAAAGGAAAGGAGGAAATCTATTTTGATATGACATTTGAAGGCAGTTGAAAAGTTTATGAGGTAGAAGAGCACAGGAAGGCTCCTTCCGATGGCATTTGCTCCTTAGGAGAGGACTCTTACACCAACGATAGTGCGATTGTGGGCAGAGCTAGTCCTGGATGCCGAAAGGAACAGGCAGAGGCTGTAGGAAAAGAAAATCATTTTCAAATAGTCAGCTGAGAACTTTTCTGTAAAAGAGAACGTTCTATTAAATGCAGGATTCATTCTTCTAAAGCAATTTCTCTTCCTGTGAAGACACCTTACTCCTTTCTGTGAGGTCACCATATGAAAGGATTGAGTTGTGCAGTTTCACATGCCAGTACCATTTTACTGTCATGGAAAATGGCAAACCTGCCATCAGCTGCAAAGGTGTAACAGGTCACTGAGGGGTTTGACACCAATGGCTCCTTTCTGTAAGGTAGGAAATTAATTTTAGTCATCAAAGCCACAGCACTTGAAGTTCTTCTCTCAGGAAAATTGTGCAGAGATGCCAAAGAAGAAGACAGTAACTACTGAAGTGTCCTGTCGGTTGCCTCTCCTTGCATCCTTAGTAAGCTTTGCTGGATGGGACAGCTTCCTCTTTATGTTCCCTATACTCACTTAACACAATCTTAGAAGAAAAGTATCATTCCAGACTTGATTGCATGGCAATCCAATACTAAAAATAGCGATTACATGCTGAAAGTGTGGATTTTTTTCTGCCTAACTTACTCAAAACCATAATTCACATTCATTTTGTCACTGATGACATCGATTACTTTGCGATGTTTCTGCATCTTCGTTAGTAAATTCTTTAGGATGTGTTCAGAACCCTTTCACCATGTTATCTATGTTCTTTCATATGTCAGGCAGCATTTGCTTAGCTTCCTTGTTTTTATATTAGTGTTACTGTTGATTATTATTTCTGAGGACTTGTTGATTATGCATCTTTCTTTGTTATCCTCTATTCTGTTACGTGTGTGATAACCTATTTGGTTGTGAGGAATACTAAATATGAAGAGTATAAGGAAAAAATATTATTATATTATGTAAACTGTTGTCATCCTCTGGGATATATACTTTTTTCACCTGTATCTTTTACTTCTATAATGCACATAATGACAGTGCTTGTTGTGCTGTAGTAACTTTGATGTCACCTAGAGTACTACTAGATCTCTGATGGGTACGTACATGCCTTTTTCTGGCAGGACTTTGGCCCAGAGAATACCGATACTTAGTATGAGGTGATGGACAAATGTTCTATGATGTGACTTTTAGACCTGCTTGCTGACACTGACAGAATTCTTCATTTCTTAATATTTGAAGGATCCAGAAAGATGGGTTTGGAGGTACTCCAATTGTCCTTGAGGGATATTTTGGTTTTGCTTCTACAGTTTCTACAAGGTTTCCTTCTACTTCCTTAAAGAGTCCCAAACAGCATAGATTTTTTTTTTCTTTTTTTTAATGTGGCTGAAGAAGAATCAGTTTTGCATTCCCCTTCCCTTAGCTCTCCTCCTCTCTTTCTTCTTCCTCTAAAATCTGTCAGTTAAAGGCTGGAATTTGGCCTGTCCAGTGATGATGCTATTGAGTTTCCATTCAAGACATTATGCACACTCCTTTAATTTTTGCATGGAGGATGATTTAGACTTGGTGTTTAGTTTAAATGAAAGAAGTATCTCCTAGGTGCTACTGAAAAAGAATGTAAAAATTGCATATACACTCTAAAATATTTGTTGAGGCATTTTATGAGTCCTTTGGTAATTATCGTTTTCATAAGTTGTTTTAACATTCAGTCTAAGTTACTATATTTTTGTAAATGACCTTTCTTTTCTTGTCATTTGTCTTCTGCAGACTGTCTTAGTTTGTGTTGTTGAAATAGATTTTTCAACAAGACCTTCCACTCCTTGCACCCTTTCACTCAAGGATACAATTTTAAACATTTAAAGAAAATTAGCAAGCTATAAAATCATATACAGAAATACTATGTTTGTTATTTCTAAATCATACCACATACATGAGTCACTTGAAAAGGCTTTCTTTTTTGCTCTTGCACTCTGAAGAAGCAAGTATTCCTTTTATACTAGTGAGAGAGTAGTGTGCATTTTTATTTGTGTGCAAGCCATGACGCAGACCTATCCTAAATGTAAGCCTGGATATAGGCAGCATTGGCAGCAGTCTATGAGACTGTGCTCTCTCAGGGCCCTAATTCAGCCTCACCTCAGCCTTTTCTGTGTGCTTACGCTAAGGGCTTACAGAAGGCGGACGGGTTTGGATAGACCTTTAACTCCCGT